GAAATAGGACTACAAAGATTTCAGACTGGAATTACTAGGTACAGACTGCACAGTGACTATATTTACTATGCTTAAAGAAATAAAAGACACACTTGATAATAACTAGGGAGACTAAGCTATGCCAAAAATTTAATATGTAATAATGAGACTGGCTCATGCCACTGCACTCCAGCCTGGATGGCAGAGTAAGACCTTGACTCAAAAACAAGTTTATACATACATACGTACATATATATATATATATATGTATATATATATATATATATATGGCTGTAAAGTGACATGAGCCAGACACGAAGAGCAAATCTTTTCATGGCTGTCCACTCTGCTTAGGCTACTAATATCTTAAATAGTTAAAAGAGTTCCTAATCAAAGACATGACTGTGTGACTTACCTAGATTCAGTTTGAACATTTCTTGGAAAATCATAGTGTTCTAAGAGCAGGTAGAGCTTTACTGTATTGGGTTTAAGGAGCCTAGGCACAAGATAGTTCCATGAAATTGCCCTGTTTAAGGTTTCGTCCTTCAGATTTTGTGTATATTCCAGTCTTCTGCAAAAGTGCTAAGAATTCTGAGCTCTCTACAAAAAGACTTATCTGTTAGCTGCTTGATGAAAAGATAATGCCGAAATGGGCCACTGTCTGGAACCTCGGAAAGAGAAACAGGCAGAGGACGAGAGGTGTGTCATTTTGGGGGTCCCTCTCATGATGCAACTTTTAAATTCATCCTCTCTATTACTTCAAAAGCATTAGTTGAGGGCTGTTTGGGTTGAGTTGTGCCTCCGTCCCCTGCCCAAAAGATATGCCGAAGTTCTAACCTTCAGTAGTTCAGAATGCTGCTCTATTTGGAAATTGGGTCATTGTAGATATCAAAGTTAAGACGACTTTAAATTAGCATGGGGTGGACCTTAGTCCAATACAACTGGTGTCCTTAAAAGAAGATGGCCATGTGAAAACACAGAGACACAGGGAGAATGCCATGTGAAGATGGAGGATTGGAGTGATGCATCTATACACCAAGGAATGCCAAAGATGACCGGAAAGCCAGAAGCTAGGAAGAGTCACTGAAGGATGCCCCTACAGCTTTCAGAGGGAGCATGACTCTGTTGACACCTTGATTGGGACTGCTTGCCTACAACCTGTGAGACAATAAATTTCTGTTGCTTTAAGCCATTCAGTTTGTGGTACCAGTACTTTGTTACAGCAGCCACAGGGAAAATGATACAAGAGATTACTAGGAACCAAATCTTATTCCGGTGGCTTTGGGTCAAGGTCAAATAAGATGGAGACTCAGTTCCTGGAAAATGCCAGATAGGATTTTTTATAAAAGGTGGGTTAAGAGGTCTGTATTTTTGGGAGAAGAGCTTTCAAAACCTCAATGTATGTACTCCAAAATAAAGGAAAGAATCGAGCAGGAAAAATTAGATCTTTGATGGAGTGATGTAGGTAAGATGTTCCCTATCTTCTTCCTTTAGAAATGTTGAAATGACAGCTTTGGAGATTGAAAAAATGGTTTGTGCTTATAGCAAAAAGGAAGCAGTGATCACTAAAAGTCAGCGTGAGTACACCAAGAACAGGACTTGTCAGGATCAGCTCATTAGTTTGACAGGGAAGTCAGACTGGTAGATGATAAAGAGTGAAGAGGAGTGAGATTTTATTAAGACACCTGATAAATTACCTCGTGAACAAGATGGAGTGGTTGAGTTGGAAATGAGTGAACAGCTGTACCTATAGATTGATGACTAATGGAGCTATGCCAGTCTGGATTGAGGCTCCAGTGGAATGCCATGGAACATTTACAAAAGTACTGCCCTTTTCAACATTTTTATCAGTGACCTGGAAAAGTCAAGCGTTACCAAATTTGTGTTTGACGGGCCAGATGACTCCGCCTACACATGGATGTATGTACTTTGTTCTGGATGCCCCATTTAGAGAGGGCACAGGGAAGCCGGGACATGTTTTGAAGGGAGTGACTGGACTGGAGATTTGAGGAGAGTGGTGATCGTGTCATACAAGAAATTGGTGAAGTGTTTGAGGGATAGTCAGCCTAAACAATAGAGGCCTAAGAAAAATGTGACAGCCAAAAGGTAGTACATTTACTTGGATCCAAGGGTCAAATGACAGGAAGGCAATCTCAGCTTGGTATAGGAAGAACTTTCAGGATGTAAGAATTTTTCAAAGAAAAAATTCTGGTGACAAGATTTGAAAGTTAACAAATCTTTATGGATTAATCTATAAATTTAGTAACAATTCTAGTACAATTTTTAAAGGGATTAACTTATTCTAAATGCATAGACTAGAGGCCCATAAAAGATAAATCGATCTTGAAAAAAAAGAGCAAAAAGGTTACTCTCGTCCAAACAATGATAAGATGTATCATAAAGCCACAATAATAATAAAGCATTAGAGACCTGGTACAGCCATAGGTAAATAAGTCAATGAAACAGAAGGCAGACAGCACTCAAATCGATGCCAAAACAGATGGACTGCTCAGTGAGTATTGTGGAGGAGACTGAAAGACAGATGAGAAAGGGGGAAATATAGTCAGAAAATTTACACAGCATACAAAGATCAATGCAGATAGATTAAAAAACTCCATGTGAAAGATAAACTCAAGCCAGGCTTGGTGGCTCAGCCTGTAATCCCGCGCCTTTGGGAGGCTGAGGTGAGTAGATTGCCTGAGTCCGCGGGTTCAAGACCCGCCTGGGCAACGTGGCGAGACCTCATCTTTACAATAAATCAAAAATTAGCCAGACGTGGTAGTGCACGCCTGTAGTTCCAGCTACTTGG